TAGGAACTGTCTGATTTCTTCTTTAATTTCCTCTGTGACCCATTGGTTATTCAGAAGTGTGTTGTTCAATTTCCATGTGTTTATGTAATTTTTGTGATTTCTTTTGCTATTGATCTCCAATTTCATCACACTGTGGTCTGATAATATACAGGAGATAACTTCAGTTCCTTTGGACTTACTTAAACACGTTCTATGAGTATGTAGTCTATTTTGCAGAACGACCTGTGTGCAGCTGACAAGAATATGTATTCTGATTTTGTGGGGTGGAACATTCCATAAACATGTTAAATTCATTTGTTCAAGAGTTTGATTGACGGCCGGGGATTTAGCTCAGTGGTTTTGCCGCCTGCTGCGCAAGCACAAGGACCTGAGTTCGATCCCTGGTACCAAAAAAAAAAAAAAGAGTTCGATTGAGTTCTAGTATTTCATTACTTATTTTTTTGTCTAGTTGATCTGTGACAGTGGGGTATTGAGGTGCCCCACTACTATTGTAGTAGTGCATATATGACTTTGCATGTCCGTATTTGTTTTATATAATTGGGCACACTAGTGTTCGGTGCACAGATATTTATGATTGTCATCTCTTCCTCTTGGACTGTTCCCTTTACAAGGACGTAGTGTCCTTTGTCTCAATTAGTGTTGGCTTGAAATCCACTTGATCTGCAAAGAGGATAACTACATCTGCTTTTTTTTGGGTTCCCATCCCATGGAGTATTGTTTTCCACCCTTTAACTTTTCAATCTATGAGTTTCTTTTTGAATTATGTTTCCTATAGGCAGTATATTGTTGGATTTTGCTTCTTGACTCATTCTGCCAGTCTATTTTTTTCTAAAATGGAGTACTACTCAGCCAGAAATTAGAAACTTATAACTAAATGGATACATATTGAGGAATACTCTTAAGTGAAACAGGACACACATGTGTAAATACCAAATCAATTCTCTAGTGTAAGAAACCGAAAGTGTAAATAAGGACTAAATAAGTATAATAGATAATGTGAAACAAGGAAGAACACAAAAAGAAAAGGGAAGTAAAAGAGATAGGAGAAAAGAAACAAGGAGATGAAATTAATAGGAGAAAACGAAAAATCAGAAACAAAAACTTCGTAAACAGAGAGATGAAGAAGTTGAAAGAACAGGAGAAAAGAGAAAAAGATTACATAAAAACTCGAATTTTCAATAGTGAATATCATTATATTATACACCTAAGTTACACCAATAAAATAAATTTTTGAAAAAAAAAAACAATTCAAGGGTTGGGGATTTAGCTCAGTAGTTTTGCTGCCTGCCTTGTAGGCGTACAGTACCAAAGTTCAATCCCCGAATACCAAAAAAATTTTTTTAAAAGACAAAGGAAAAAAAAGACTCAAGAGACTAAGACCCTTTAAAGATTCTTGCTTCTCACTCCTCAAGGAGAAAAGAACGGAAACAAATTAAGAATACTATGTTTCAAAGAAAAAAATAAACACTTGCTAGAAAAAAAAAAGAAAATAAAAACTGTAAATAAGTGTGAAACGCTACCTTCATTACATAACTTAAAAAACAACAAAAACACCACTAACACCACTCTACTTATTCTAACGTTTGACCAGAAACACACAGGGGAAAGCGCGAACGCAGTCCCCCACTACCACAAATTATGCAGTCGAGTTTCCCGCATTTGGGGAAATCGCAGGGGTCAGCACATCCGGAGTGCAATGGACGAGCCTCGCCCTGGGAAAACCACCTTCGTGATCATGGTATCTCCCCTGCCAGGTAAGTATGAGCTCCCAACCCACCCGCGCCACTACCCGCCGCCCCGAACACCACTCTTTGATTCCGGTCAACCCTCCACCCACTCGGAGTCACCGCCACCCACGTGCCGACATCGAAAACACACTCGGGGGGCCCTCAATCTTAGTAGTTAGTCGCACAGCCGCCAGGCTCGAGATGCCCATCCTTTCCCGGGAGCGCGCTTCCAAAATGCACTGAGGCCGCTCATCTGCATACGCCACCTCCTCCCCGCCTTGCGTCACCCGCCCGCCGCCCCAGCCCCAGCC